ATCCTCTCTCTTCTACACTTTATTCAAGACTCTGAGTATCACAGTTCTTTATGTAACTCATTGTTCAGTACAAGTCACTAAGTGACTTCTTAATTGGTTTGCTGGCCCTCTTGAAATCTAAAGAAACAACAGCAGTGGTACATCACTTTTATTTACAAAGTCTTACTGGGTAAATTACATTTGCTTCATTTCTCCCATCTTTGTTTTGTATTTTATGTGAATTTGTAATGGTGTACTTTCTTGGCCAGGTCTCCCACAAAAGAGATTTGACTCCCAAAGGAGGAAAAGAAAAGAAAAGAAAAGAAAAGAAAAGAAAAGAAAAGAAAAGAAAAGAAAAGAAAAGAAAAGAAAAGAAAAGAAAAAATATCACAATTGGGAAGGTGACATATTTTTGTAAAAATGAAAAAAAGTTGATCACAAAACATATTTTAAAAAACAAACTTTGCAACATGTATCACCAACTTCCAATTAAAGTGCTTTATTATAAAGGCATAACAACAGAAAACAAGCTATTCGGTTATTTCTACTAATGTTATCAATAAAACCGAGGTTGAAAAATGGTAATTTTTATGTATAATTTTTTTTTATGTATTGTTATGTATATTCAGTAATGTATTGTAATAACATTATTAACATCAAAGGTATTTTTTATACTTGTTTTAGTATTTACTAGGTTAAAAAAATGTTGGCAGTAGTTATATTCTGACATACTATTTTTTATTAGTAGACATTATGAAGTGGCACTAATTTTCTTTACAAAATGTTTTTGATTGTAAGATTATATGTCAGTAGAGAGAAAACAATACAAAACAAATCCCACTTTAATAGGACTATCTCTGCTGTCTCTCAATACGTGCATTTATTACTTTGTCCCACTTTGTTCTCTTCAGGATCAAAATCTGTTCACTCCCCTGAAGTGGCATTTTTGCCTGATATGAGTCAAAAGAGAAAAAGTTGTCCATTTCTGTGATCTCTTTGTGTCTGTCAGAAAATGTTTCATCCTTCATCTGACACAACCAGTTACATGCCTGTGAACGAGGATAAAAGAAGACAAAGCTGTTTTTAACATTTCATTTGTTTTTAACAGTGATTCTTTTGGATAAGTCATTACGTGCCAGCACTTTAAGTTACCAAGTGGAAAAAAAAAGTGCAATTTGTTGTATTCAAGTTGCAGAGATATCCAAAATATGAACAAATAATGATGTTTTTAGTATGCTGGGGTTCCCAAAACTCAGACACCCCTTCATGTTTGTGTAGATTAAAACACACGTAAAAATAAATGAAATATAAAAATGCATCTCTCAACTTGTATTTCCAGTTCTCTAATTCCATCTTAATCATTGTTTAGATTAAATAACTAAGAGATGTTTGCTCCGTATCATCTGGTGGTCCTGAGTGTTTAGGAGTACTCTAGCCTAAAAACAGCAATGCAAGAGTCAGAGCTGTCGTGAATTATGCCAGCAATGGCAGACATGTACGGTTGCTCCCTTCTGGCAATGGCTATTCGGTTTCACTCATGCTGCCAGACTGCTGGGCTACCAGCAAAGGTCGGCACCTTGTTAGGACCTGGTGGGACAACTTATAGCCCTATTGTTGTGCTCCTTTTCATGAATAATGACACAAACCTGCGGCTGAAAAAACTTTTGAAGAGCAGTGTCTATAATAAAAATCATAATGAATTGTTATAAGTAGCAGCATACGATGGACAATCTTGGTTTATGTCTCTTAATGTAATGATGTGATAACTGTTATTGACTACTTCATTAAATGCAGTGTTGTCAAAACGTATTTGTCACCCTTGCATGTTTCAGATCATCACACATTTAATATCAGACAAAGAATGCAATTTTGAAATTACGATTTCATTTATTAAAGTAAAAAAGCAATATGTGACGAGGCAATTAGCCCCTAAACCTAATAACTGGTATAATAAGCCTACAATCAGTTTAACTGTATGTTAAATGTATTTAACTATACATTTAACAATTAAAGCATTAGAGTATCTTTAATTAGAGGACAGCAGATATATACTCACCAGTCATTTAATTAGGTACACCTTGGATGAAGTCTTCTGGTCAAAGATTCAACATGGTGCTTTAAACATTCTGCAGATATTTTGTTCCATATTGACCTGATTGCATCACACTACCACCACATCCAACAGCTGCTTTACTGGATTGAGATCTGGTGACTTTGAACTCATTCTTATGTTTAGCAAACCAAGTTTAGATGATCTGAGCTTTATAACATGACATGTTATCCTGCTGAAAGCAGCCATCAGAAGATGGGTACCTGTGGATGGACATGGTCAGCAACACTATCAAACGAGGTGATTTTTTTTTCAGTCTTGTGTTTCCCAGTTTTGGTGATGCAGTGTAACTTGTAGCCTCAGCATGTGGCGTGTTCATCTGCTTCAGGGCTTGAAGTCTTCTGTCTTCAGAAATGCTTTTCTACATACCTTGGTTGTAATGAGTTGTTCAAAGGCTCTCAAATCACCTTTCTTCCCCATTCTGATGTTTGTTTTGAACTTCAGCAGGTCATCTTGACCACGTTTGCATACCTAAATGCATTGAGCTGCTACTGATTAGATATTTGTGTTAAGGAGCAGAAGAACAGGTGTACCTAATAAAATGTGTATATTTTAAATCAGATGGTTGTAAAGAAAAAATGAGGAGAAGAATATGAAATAGTAAATAAAGATTCAGGGCAATCACAGTTCTCAGAAATTCTCAAAACCTTCTGTTAAAAAACTCATTTTGAAAACTTTGAAGTCATTTTCACTCAAGACAGAAACAAGAATGAATGAACAAACTTTACAAACCTGATACTGTGTTAGTTTTTACTTCACCAACCCAAATAATTAGTGCAGCAAGAGTGCTGACAGGGACTAGAAAGAGAGAGCAGATTTCTCCTGTTTTGGCTTCCCTTCATTGGCTTCCTGTTAAATCCAGAATTGAATTCAAAATCCTGCTCCTCACATACAAGGTCTCAAATAATCAGGCCCATCTTATCTTAATGAGCTTGTAGTACCATATCACCCTATTAGAGCACTTCGCTCTCGCTCTGCAGAACTACTTGTTGTTCCTAGAGTATTTAAAAGTAGAATGGGAGGGAGAGCCTTCAGTTTTCAGGCCCCTCTTCTGTGGAACCAGCTTCCAGTTTGGATTCGGGAGACAGACACTATCTCTACTTTTAAGATTAGGCTTAAAACTTTCCTTTTTGCTAAAGCATATAGTTAGGGCTGGACCAGGTGACCCTGAATCCTCCCTTAGTTATGCTGCAATAGACGTAGGCTGCCGGGGATTCCCATGATGCATTGAGTTTTTTCTTTCCAGTCACCTTTCTCACTCAGTATGTGTTATTAGACCTCTCTGCATTGAATCATATGTGTTATTAACCTTTGTCTCTCTTCCACAGCATGTCTTTCATCCTGTTTTCCTTCTCTTACCCCAACCGGTCACAGCAGATGGCCGCCCCTCCCTGAGCCTGGTTCTGCCGGAGGTTTCTTCCTGATAAAAGGGAGTTTTTCCTTCCCACTGTCGTCAAAGTGCTTCCTCATAGGGGGTCATATGATTGTTGGGTTTTTCTCTGTACCTATGAAGCGCCTTGAGGTGACTTTTGTTGTGATTTGGCGCTATATAAATAAAATAGAATTGAATTGAAAATAAAATTAACACTTTCTATGACATTTTGGATTTTAAAAATATCAAAAATTAAACAGAGCAACTATAGCAGCACGACAGATGCTTTCCCCCCATGTTAGCAAAACAGTTGCCACAGTGTCGTTCCTCTTTCTTTATCAGCAGCTTCCCTCTAGTGGTGCACTATCTGAACTGACACACTACACTACTGACTGGTAAACAAAAGTCTGGTTACCCTTAGGCAAATCACACTTTGTTTATTTCTGAAAAAAGAAAACATGATTAAAAAAATTTATCTTCTCATGTTAAAGCTTTGTACTGCCTTTTGTCCTATAAACTTAATATTAAAGGTCAGGCATTGTGTGTGTAACATGACAGGGGTCTGTAAGTCTTACTTACCCTATTAGCACTCAAGATATGTGGGAAAAGTCACTGAAACCAAAGAGACTCACCTAAGTAACTTAAAAACAACTAACAAAGTAAATATTAGGATTACATGGGGTCATGAAAATACTCCAAGAAAAAAAAAAACAATAAAAGAAGAAAACTTATAATAAGGCAAATTTAAAAAAAAAAGCTCCTACAAACTAACATGATCAAGATAATATTTCAAATCCACCATGATGTACTTGTAGAAAACAATCACATACAGCAATCTTGAACAGTTAGAAGGCTGAAATTCATAAATTGGTTCATGGCCTGACGTCTCACCATACTTTACTTTTTTATTTTTTGCTTGTTTTTTTTTTCATCCCTTTGCTCTCCAGAGTCAGAACTATATTAGCAAAAATTAGTTATAAAGTCACTTGCCTTTCCTCCCGGGTGGAGTTTAGTTCATTTTAATAAGATAAACAAACTTCCATTTGTTACTGTGATTTATTTTAATTTTACCCTGATTTTTGACTTTTAGTATTTCTTTTTTTGTTAACTTATTATTAAAAACAGACTTTTAGTCTCAGACTTTTTAAATAAAGCTTATGAGAATAATATTAATAATAATAACAAATTTATTTTTTTTTTTTTTAAATCACCAGGAGGGTGCATTTGGTGAACTGATGACTTTTCTGTTTCTTTTTTAATATAGGAAATGAATTGAGCCTCTGAAATGCCTCTGTACCAGTTGGTAACTACAGCTGAGAGGATAATTCAACTACCAGGTTAAAAAGTGCAATTAAATCTCTTCCTGGTATGTGGAGGGACTTTATTAGGCTATTTTCATTGGATTTGGTACTTTCTGCATAGTTATGCAGAATGTATCACGTGATGAAATCCACGACAGACGCGGGCAACTATTATGACAGTATTAATACTCTCCATGGTGCTGAAAAACCGAGGTCTGTTTGTGTTTTCTATTGATTGCCCCACTTTGAATGCGTCTTTAAGTCGAGCACTTATTAAATGCATATATACACAAACGCTGCCTTGAAGTCTTTCGACACAAATCACCTCTGATCACTGACGTCCGACACCAAAGCAGCAGCCCTCCAGGACGCAGCTGCAGCCGTATCAGCCTGTGTCAGGGCTTTCCACTGTAGTGCTGCATTCTGATGTAGCCCAGCGGATACACAAACGACACGCTCAGACCTCGCGTTCAGTCGCTGTTTTTAATGTCTACGAAGCATCATGACACTTGCTAAGCAGTGGCTGACCGGATTCGCGCTCCTGTGCATTTATGTTGCAGCTGAATCGAAAAAGAATTTCAAATGCCCTTCAGGATGCTCCTGCACAAAGGAGACCATCATCTGCGTCGGCACTTCACAGATCCCCCACACTATACCGAAAGAGATCAACTCCCTGTAAGTACATTTCTTTGGCTATGAAGAGGGTTATTAAAATCCGTCAGTGAGTCACAAGATAATATTAATACCGCATTCAGAAGAATAATTGACTGCCTGTAGTGGGATTTCGTGCCTGACGTGTCTGGTACAGACTGTTAACATGTCCCTAATGTGTTTCACTCAACAGGAGCATGGTTAATGGATCAATTGCGGAAATTACAGAGGGGATGTTTTCACTTATGCCTTCTCTTCAGCTGCTGTAAGTACCCACTGATTACTTGGTGATTATTGACGTCTTAGAGCAGTCACACCCAAACAAATAAGACACACGGATTTATTATTGGTTAAGTTGTTTTTGGTTGCTTTATACTGGAAACCAGACAACTAAAAGTTGTTTTTTAAAGGAAAGTTTTAATATTTTAAGCTGTAGAGCTTTTTTTGTTGTTGTTTTTTACCTTTACAGGCTTCTTAATGCAAATTCTTTGACTGCAATCAAAGATGATGCTTTCTCTGGTCTGCCTCATCTAGAATATTTGTGAGTATTATTAAACAAATTCTTTCTTAATCTAAAAAAATCTCAGTCACCAACAACTTTTAAACTTATCCCAATACCCAATGCCCACACCAGTGGAGCAGAAAATCAAAAATAATAAACAGTGCACATGTGCTTTTCAGACATGACAAAATATATTTATCTGTCTCTCGTCATTGACAAATCTGTTCTGTTACTATTCATGGAACAGGTTCATTGAAGGGAACAAGATAGAAACCATCACCAAAAATGCCTTTCGTGGTCTACGAGGGTTGACTTATCTGTAAGTTTTGCTGTCATCTTCTCTCCTAATCATGACAGCCGCAACGGCAACATTTCACAGTTAAAGTGAAAAAAACAAAACAAAATTGTGTTGTTTTTTTTTCCTTCTCATTCTTTGTGTTTCTGGTTTAGCTCCCTTGCAAATAACAAGATAAGGTTTCTGCCGAGGGATCTCTTTTTTGACTTGGATTCCTTGCTGGAAATGTGAGTAAGCAGTTGTTGTGTCAGCAGTGTGTATGTGGGTGTGTTTAAGAGAGAGAGAAAGAGAGAGTGTGTGTGTGTGTGTGTGTGTGTTTAGAGTGTGTGTGTGTGGTGTGTGTGTGTGTGTGTGTGTGTGTGTGTGTGTGCTGTGTGTGTGTTTTTCTAACTGAAGCTGACTCAGACTGCACTTGGCAGTGTTCAGCATTAAATCCTCTGAGTGGTATGATATCTATCTATCTATCTATCTATCTATCTATCTATCTATCTATCTGTTTTCCAGTCATTTTTCTCTCTTGTCTTAATCCTTTGTTGTTGATCATTCCCTCTGTGATGCATCAGAGATCTGCGAGGCAACTCTTTCCAGTGTGGCTGTGAGAACAAGTGGCTGATGACATGGCTGAAAAACACGAATGCCACAGCATCAGATGTCTTCTGCGCAGGCCCCAGTGACATGAAGAGCAAGCGGCTCAATGACCTTCCTATTCCACCGGGCGAATGTATTTCCACAGGTGAAATAACAAGGGCATGATGAAAGGCATTTCTGTCATTCTAAAATCAATAAAAATGTTGAATAATTAATCATTTGCTCTCAAAAAGAAACAGATTCAAGGTTTGCTAACATGTTTCCTCCTGAAAACATAGACATATCCACACATGCTGCACTAACCTTTGCAAACACCACACACACACACACACACACACACACACACACACACACACACACACACACACAACACAATACGTTTATATTTGCAGATATATAAGAATGAAACTGAGAGCCAAATGCCTGTTCCAAATCTCACAACAATCCATGCAGCAGTTGCTGAAATATTTTGTGCAAAACCTTATGGTCACTGCAAATGACTGTTAAAAAACATACAATCTCAAAAATAAAATATTACTAAGCTGAAAGCCAAATTTAATAGCCCTGAGTACATGAATGAGGCTTCTCAAAGCACTGAAATGTAACTGAAGCTGTGAGTATGTAAATTTTGGTGTTTTCACTTAATCAGCAAACCAGCAGTTTCTGTTTTTGTCCGCATCTCACAGACTTTGTGCGTCATCAGTCCATCCCCATTCAGTCAATATCAGCGGACATCTTCTCCTTCAAAGACGACATCTTTGTAGCGATGGCCGCCCCAAACTCCAACAGCTGCATAGTCATGGAGTGGGATCACATTGAACTGAACTTCAGAAAATTTGATAATATAACAGGTTTGATAACATCCATGAAGCTGGTAATGTTATTTTTTTTTCAGTGTCAGTAGATTTCATGAAAAGACCAAAATAGATCAATGAATGGTCCTGCATACATTTTAACTGCACATCCAAATCATGGATATAGACTAACTGACATCCTCCAGGTCTGAAAAATGAAGTAAGAGTTGATAATCAAATGGCCAACTGAGACTTGATCTGACAATTTGAGACAGTTGCCATATATTTAAAATACCCAACTTTACAGAAGAACATTTAAAGAATATTTTTGTGCAAAATACTTTTTTGGTATATAAAAGTAATAACCCCAGCAGCTGTAGTCTCTGTTACATGTGGGTAATCAGATACAGTTCTTCCACCAACTCTGTGTGAAGCTTTTAACCGTGCACCCCGCTGATCCTCACTGAACACTTTATTGCAGTAAGACAGGAAATGTCTGATCAAACATCATCTCCCAGCAACCTCCTGCATAAAAAGAAAGAAGGTAACCAGGGGAGCCACTGCTTAGGTTCATCTTCCAACTCACCTGACAGCGACGCCTGCTATATGCTAAAGTTAGCTGATAACTAAACACTAGTTGTATAAAAAAGTGAGGCCAGAATCCCTAAAGTCCATTACATTCATCAACAGCTGAAAGAAACAAAAATCCAACTTTGTCATATGTCTTGTCTTGGTCTGAACTTTGGTCTTTTCATGCTTGACCATAATGATTTCAATACTGTCATCATAGAAGTCATAGAATTCACAGATAGAATTCACAGATCCTTCAGAGTATGTTAATTTTCAACTAATACTTTCATTTTCTGTGTTGTATTATTAATGACCAACTTTTCTTCACAGGGAAGTCTGTTGTTGGATGCAAGTCGGTTCTAATTGAAGACCATGTCCTAATAATAGTCACCCAGCTCTTTGGGGGTTCCCACATTTACAAGTTTGATGGTCAACAAAACAAATTCATCAACTTTCAAACTATTGAGGTGTTCAACATCTCGAAGCCAAATGATATTGAAGTCTTTCAGATGGAAGGTCACTGGTACTTTGTGATTGTGGACAGCTCCAAGGCAGGCATGTCTACTCTCTACAAGTGGACTGACCAACCAGAACGCAATGAAACTGGTTTCTACTCCTACCAGTTTCTCCATGAATGGTTTCGTGATACAGATGCTGAGTATGTTGAGGTGGACGGTAAGTCCTACCTGATCTTAGCCAGTCGCTCTCAGTCACCAATCATCTACCTGTGGAACAGGAGTACCTTAAAGTTTATACTTCATAGTGAAATCACAAACGTTGATGATGTAGTGGCTGTCAAAGCTTTCCGGGTGGAGGGTGACTTGTATCTGGCCATGGCTTGCTACATCGGTGACTCCAAAGTCCTCAAGTGGACCAACAAGCAGTTCATTGACGTGCTGCCTCTTCCCTCTCGAGGGGCGATGATCCTCCAGCCGTTCACCTTCGCAGACAGGCACTATCTTGCTCTTGGCAGCGATTACTCTTTCACACAGATCTACCTCTGGGATACAGAGTCAAAAACATTTCACAAGTTCAAGGACATTTACGTGCAGTCACCCCGGTCATTTACTGTGGTGACCACTGACCGAAGGAGTTTTATTTTCTCCTCCAGCTTCAAGGGGAAATCGATGGTCTTTGAGCATATATTTGTAGATTTAAGCTTATAATAACTACAAAAGCAGTACTGATCAAAATATACAGTGCTTAAAAAAAATTATGAGACCATTGTAAATGCTGGCGGATTAACCTTGCAGAAACATTTAAAAATGACTTGGCAATTACCAGTACTGATAATTTAGGACAGCTGTGGGATGAACCTCATGGTGGTGGTCAAATAAATTTGTTAAGTACTGCATGTTGGTTAGTCGCTTCATAATGAGTGTATGCTGTCAAAGAAGTGTCAAATGCTGTGTATTGTACTTATGCAACTAGACTTATCGTTCTTGGTTTGAAACTAAATTTAATCAAGTTTTCTGCAAATAATGTGATATGGATTCAGAAAATTATGAAGGCTAGGTTAATGTTACACCAAAGTAACTAAAGGCTGACAGAAATATAATATGACAATGCAACTGCATTAAGAAAATGTTATGGCAATACCAATGCATCCTTAAAAAGGCTTGGCTTTTATCATAATTCTGTCAAGCCAACAAGCCAGACACTGTCCACACTAGCCAAAGATATCACAGACTATTACCCTCCTGCGCTACACAGGAAGTTAGTGAGAAGCGTGACCATTTACACCCTACAGCTGATGGTGTAGCTGTGCAAGCAAAACAAACTTTGTATGTCACGTCAAAATGAACACTGGCAAAAGCAAATCATGTTGTATGGTGTTGTATACTCTGTTTAATTTGCCATGTCTGAAGGAAAAAATGACCACCGTTATCGACATTGGTATTGCACAGATGTCACGGTTTTTGTAGTTTCAAAAAAATTACAAAAACTGTGACATGTAGCCCTCAAAATTTTGGTATTTGAAAAAAGTGTGCATTTTTGAGGGTTTACGCTTGGAAGTAAAATGCTGAATGTTAGTCAGAAAGTCATGGGGAGTAAAAAAATGGACACTTTCTCTGAGAAGCCATCAAAAATTTTGAAGCCATTTCATTGCAGTAAGTGTTATGACTGCAAAGATAAAAGTGCATGATGCACAGTTTTCTTCCTTACCTGAAAACAGAATATCCATCCATCCATCTTCTTCCGCTTTATCCGGGGCCG